AAGAGGCTTGACCCCTTCATAGATGCTAATGGACTGTTGAGAGTTGGGGGACGTATTTCAAATGCAAAGTTCGAGAGTAAAGAATGTAATCCCATAATAATTCCAAGCAATCACATTGCATCTTTACTTGTGCAACACTACCATGAGAAGACTAAACATCAGGGACGTTTGTTCACTGAAGGAGCTTTACGTACAGCTGGATTTTGGGTAGTGGGAGCGAAAAGACTTGTGAGTTGTCTTATTTTCAAATGTGTCACTTGCAAAAAACTACGTGGTATGTTTCAGTCACAGAAGATGGCTAACCTCCCTGCGGACCGACTCAGTATAGAACCTCCCTTTACTAATGTTGGTCTTGACGTGTTTGGTCCTTGGTCTGTCACCACACGGCACACTAGAGGAGGCCAGGCAAACAGCAAATGCTGGGCAGTCATATTTACATGCATGAGTATCAGGGCTGTGCATATAGAAGTTATCGAGTCTTTAGACACATCCAGCTTTATAAATGCTCTCAGACGTTTCATCTCCATCAGAGGCCCAGTTAAACTAATCCGCTCTGATAGAGGTACCAACTTCGTTGGGGCCTGCAAAGAACTGCATATCCCCTCAAACATTGACAGTGACCATGTAGAGAGATATCTTGCCGCCCAAGACTGTAAATGGACATTCAACCCCCACATGCGTCTCACATGGGAGGCTCTTGGGAGCGTATGATTGGCATAGCTCGCCGGATCCTTGATTCTGTTTTTCTACAGCTGGGAACTTCGAGGCTCACCCATGAAACCCTCTCAACCTTCATGGCCGAAGTAGTGGCGATCATGAACGCCAGACCTTTGACTTCAATATCCAGTGATCCAGAAGATCCCTTCTTGCTCACCCTTCCACTCTTCTCACCCAAAAAGTCGGTACAGCATCGGCTCCTCCTGGAGAATTTAGTGCTAAAGACTTGTACAAGTGTCAGTGGAGACGAGTGCAGACTCTAGCAGATACCTTCTGGGATAAATGGAGAAAACAATACATCTCTACTCTACAAGTCCGGAATAAATGGCAAACCAGCAAACCCAATATGGAGGTTGGTAATGTTGTTCTTGTCAAAGACTCTCAGTCAAGAAGAAATGACTGGCCTTTGGGACTGATAACCAAGGTGTTCCCAAGTGAAGATGGGAAAGTCAGAAAAGTGGAGGTCAAGGTCTGCAGACAACAGGAGCCCAAACTCTTCCTCAGACCCGTTACTGAACTGGTTTTGTTGCTCTCTCCAGGGGTGATTTAATGTGGTATCCTTTAGATACCAGACGGGGAGTGTCATGCCTTTAGCAATTTGTTCTTTGTTAATTAGGCATTATTAGTATGTTTTATCAGTTTGTAATTCTCTGTTCATTGTGTAACTGCTCCATCTAGTGGCTGTTTGTATACACTGCATCTTTTCACAGTAGAAGTTTGACCCATTTCAGCTTCCATAGCTTGTAGCCTATGAACTCTGATTACATCATCAGCCATGCTCATAGCAGCCATTTCCTCATCACAGACTCCATTCCTGTGGTATGCTGGTAGGATCCAGCCCTCACATTCAGGTTCACAATAGCATCGTCGGTACGTCTACACACATGTCTATATCTTATGCATCTGTGTTTTATGTAACCTACATGTCTTACATGTGTTTATATGTGCATTGCCAAGACCTTGGACCCGGTTGGGATCATGACTGTCAGTTATTATTTGATTGTACTGTATGAAGTGTTATGTAAGAGTTATGTTAATCCGTTGCTCATCCCTCCGGGTGGACGCCATATGGCGTCCTTTCCAGAGCGCGCATTGCACACGCCTACAGGGCCGCGCTGCGGCACGATCTGTCACTGGCCATGTACGTCGGACACGGCCGATGACAGATCTGTGTACCGTCCCCGTTGCCAGTACCATGTGACCTGCTGTGACCAATCACAGCAGGTCACGACAGTTGTATACAATGGATGGCTTCCTTTCATGCCATCCATTGTATACAAGTGTGTCTAGCTGTGAATGGTCACAGCGATCACATGCACAAGCTGGGCCAATCACAGCCCAGCTGTGTCATGTGATTAGCCGTGGCCAAATCACACAAAAAAAAAAACAAAAAAACAGAATAAATCAATTTCATTCAGGTAAATGCTTGCTTATAGCAAAGTAATTCTTTGCTATAAGCAAATTGTGTAAAATAAAAAATACTGATCACTCCCCCAAAGTAGCACAATGTTACTATGGTAACATTATACTACTTTGGTCATAGTGAAATATGAAAAAATAATCTTAAAAAAAAGAAAAAAATGTAATAAAAAATTAAAAATAATAAAAAAAAAATTATCAATTTTTTTTTCGTACTGTCACCAGTCAGTGTCCCTGATCACCGCCATGCCAGTTATACGATGACGCTGTACTGCACTGGTGACAGTATGTAAAAAAAAAAATAGTGAAAATCATTTTTTTAATTTCTTCATTTCCGAAAAATTATGACAAAAAAATTACAATTTCATAAAACTCGCCATGCCTGTTATGAAATACATCGGACGGTCTACTTTGCAATAAGGGGTCATTTTGGGGGATATCTGTACTGTCCTGACATTCTTGGACCTCAAAAAATGAGATTGGCTTTCAGTACTTCAGGATTGATCAAATTTTCAGATATATCCCATAGTTTGTGAACTCTATAACTTTCCTACAGACTAAAAATAATAAATACTAATTTGGGTTATTTTCACCAAAGACATGTAGCAGAATACATCTTGGCCTAAATTTATGAAAAACAATTATTTATTTGCAAACTTTTATAACAGAAACAAAGAAAACGTGTTTTTTTTTTTTTTCCAAAATTTTCTGTCTTTTTTTGTTAATTTAGCAAACAATAAAAACCCCAGTGGTGATGAAATACCCCAAAAGAAAGCTCTAGTTGTGTGAAAAAAATGATAAAATTTTAGTTTGGGTACAGTGTTGTATGAGCGCGCAATTGTCATTCAAAGTGCACTATAGCTACTTGACATTGGGCAGGTGACAGTTGGCAGTTTTTGAAAACAAGGGTCAGTTTGACCGGGCCTATACCAGGTAACAACCGCAGCACAGTGGTTAGCGTGCCAGTCTAAAGAGTGCATGGTCATAGGTTCGAGGCTCTGCACTGGACATGAGATAAACGGTTGTTACTTTTGGTTTTTTTTTTTGGGCTTTGTTTTTTTTTTTTTAACCAATTCAATAACGGGCACTTTTACACCTTCCTGCCCAGGCCAGTTTTCAGGTTTCAGCGCTTTCACACCTTGAATGACAATTGCGCGCTCATACAACATTGTACCCAAACTAAAATTTTATCATTTTCTTTACACAACTAGAGCTTTCTTTTGGTGGTATTTAATCACCGCTGGGGTTTTTATTTTTTGCTAAATGAACAAAAAAAAAACCAACAATTTTGAAAAAAAAAAAAACACATTTTTCTTTGTTTCTGTTATAAAAGTTTGCAAATAAATAATTGTTCTTCATAAATTTTGGCCGAGATGTATTCTGCTACATGTCTTTGGTGAAAATAACCCAAATTAGGATGTATTTTTTAGTTCGTAGGAAAGTTATAGAGTTCACAAACTATGGTATAGATCTGAATATTGATCAATCCTGAAGTACTGGCGGCCAATCTAATTTCTTGAGGTCCAAGAATGTCAGAACAGTACAGATATCCCCCAAATTACCCCTTTTTGTAAAGTAGACAGTCCGACGTACTTCATAGGAGGCATGGCGAGTTTTTTGAAGTTGTATTTTTTTTGTCATAATATTTCGGAAAATGAAAAAAATTTTAAAAATTAGTTTCACTATTTTTTTTTGTACAGCGTCAAACTGGCATGGCGATGATCAGGGACACTGATTGGTGACAGAATGAAAAAAAAAAAAAAATATATATATATATATTTTTTTTATTATTTTTTATTACATTTTTTTCTTCTTTTTTTTTAAGATTTTTTTTTCATATTTCACTATGACCAGAGTAGTACAATGTTACCATAATGACATCGATTCATTCAGGGTTTTTTTTTTTTTTTTTTTTGTGCTTAGCTGTGATTTGGCCACAGCTAATCACATGACATGTGCATGTGATTAGCTGTGACCATTCACAGCTAGACACTAGTATACAATGGATGGCATGAATGAAGCCATCCATTGTATACAACTGTCATGTGACCTGCTGTGATTGGTCACAGCAGGTCACATGGTACCGGCAACGGGGCTGATACTCAGTTCTGTCATCGGCCGTGTCCGAGGTACACGGCCGGTGACAGATCGCGCCACTGCGTGGCTCTGCAGGAGCGCAATCTGCACATGTGCGGGAGGACGCCATATGGCGTCCACCCGGAACACTGATGACATTTGCCGGCCGCCATTCGGCCATAGGGCGGGCGGCAAATGGTTAACATTCATTTTCTCTCATTTTATCTATTTGGAAAGCCTTTCATGGTCCCAGTACATTTTTGGGAGCATGGTGACAAGCCTTATCTTCCCTTACACAGTGAGGGTGTTTTCTTATTAACACTTTACTTTTTAAATAAAAAAAAAAAAGTGATTTTTTTTTTTATTTATTAATTTTCGAAAAATAAAACCATCAAATAACTCTTACTAAATACCTTGGACTGTTTGCTTTCCAAAAAGGCGGTCATCTGGGGGGTATTCGCACTGTCCTGGTGTTTTGGGGCCTCAAGAAATGAGATAGGCCATCTAGTACATCGAGAATGATGGATTTTTCATATATATATATATATACAGTATGTGAATCAGCACTCAACCCTAAAGGTGAATTCTTCTCGTCGTTTGCTCTTGTTTGGTCTGATAAACATAAATCATTGCAAAAGTTTTGTTTTTACTGTTTAACCGTCTCCCGCCCACCATATAGGTTCTCCACGAGGTGGTTCTCTCGTTCTGAGAGGACGTCATATGACGTCCTCCCATTCTTACCGTGCATGCGTGGCTCTGGGAGCGCGCGCGCAGCGCGGCGATCGCTGGTGCACTGTGTCCCTCGGACACAGCGGATCACCGATTCACGGAAAGAGCCGAAGATGTCAGCTCGGTCATGTGATCAGCTGTGTCCAATCACAGGTGATCGCATGTAAACTGGGAAATGCCGGTTACCGGCATTTCTCTCCTCACGAGCCGTCACGCTGACAGCCCGTGAGGAGAGGAGAGCTGGTAATCGGTTTTCCGCGGAGAGGACATGTACACTGATCATCAGGGCACTGATGATCAGTGTGCCTTGATGATCAGTGTAGCCCCAGCAGTACCACCTGTCAGTGTCCATCAGTGCTCATCCGTGTCACCTGCCATTGCTCACCAGTGCCACATCAATGCCACATATCAGTGCCCATCTGAGCTGCCTTTCAGTGTCACCCATCAGTGCCAGCCAGTGCCACCTATCAATGCCAGTCAGTGCCGTCTATCAGTGCCGCCTATCAGTGCCGCCTATCATTTCTGCCTTTCAGTGCCCATCAGTGAAGCCTGTCAATGCCCATCAGTGCCACCTACCAGTGCCTCCTCATCAGTGCCCATTAGTGCCACCTATAAGTGTCTATCACTGCCGCTTCATTAGCGCACATCAGTGAAGGAGAAAAATCACTTATTTACAAAATTTTATAACAAAAACTAAGAAAAAACTTTTTTTTTCTAAATTTTCAGTGGTTTTTTGTTTGTTTAAGAAAAAATAAAAACCCAGAGGTGATTAAATACCACCAAAACAAATCTCTGTCTGTCACAAAAAAAATGATAAAAATTTCATATGGGTACAGTGTTGCATGACCGCGCAATTGTCATTCAAAGTGTGACAGCGCTGGAAGCTGGAAATTGGCCTGGGCAGGAAGGGGGTATAAGTGCCCTGTTTTTGTTACTGGTCTTGTCCTTTGTGTTTGTCATGTTGTTTGGTTTTGTTTGGGTTCCTTGATTTTTATTTTCTTTCCTTGATCGTCATTTTGTGTTCTGGGGTGTTTGGCGTTTTTTGTTTTGTCGTGGCAGCCGGCAGGGGTCGCTGGGTCTTTGAAGGCGGTGCTGGAGTGACCATTTGGTGGATTATGGGTTGGGCCCATCGTAGGTATGGGTGTTCCTTCCCAATTATAAGGTCATGTTGGTAAGGTTGGAGTTCATTGGCTGTATCTGGGACTACGTAGCTGTAGTATTGTCCCCGAGGTGGTGTAGTAGTGGCTGGGGGCCTTTTCATTGGGTGTAGATACAGCCGAGTTATTGATGTGAGTAACAGTGCCTTCGAAGACCTTGGAGTTGGGATCATGACTGTCAGTTATTATTTGATTGTACTGTATGAAGTGTTATGTAAGAGTTATGTTAATCCGTTGCTCATCCCTCCGGGTGGACGCCATATGGCGTCCTTTCCAGAGCGCGCATTGCACACGCCTACAGGGCCGCGCTGCGGCACGATCTGTCACTGGCCATGTACGTCGGACACGGCCGATGACAGATCTGTGTACCGTCCCCGTTGCCAGTACCATGTGACCTGCTGTGACCAATCACAGCAGGTCACGACAGTTGTATACAATGGATGGCTTCCTTTCATGCCATCCATTGTATACAAGTGTGTCTAGCTGTGAATGGTCACAGCGATCACATGCACAAGCTGGGCCAATCACAGCCCAGCTGTGTCATGTGATTAGCCGTGGCCAAATCACAAAAAAAAAAAAAAAAAAAAAAACAGAATAAATCAATTTCATTCAGGTAAATGCTTGCTTATAGCAAAGTAATTCTTTGCTATAAGCAAATTGTGTAAAAAAAAAAATACTGATCACTCCCCCAAAGTAGCACAATGTTACTATGGTAACATTATACTACTTTGGTCATAGTGAAATATGAAAAAATAATCTTAAAAAAAAAAAAAAAAAAATGTAATAAAAAATTAAAAATAATAAAAAAAAAAAAATTATCAATTTTTTTTTTTTTTCGTACTGTCACCAGTCAGTGTCCCTGATCACCGCCATGCCAGTTATACGATGACGCTGTACTGCACTGGTGACAGTAAAAAAAAAAAAAAAAAATAGTGAAAATCATTTTTTTAATTTCTTCATTTCCGAAAAATTATGACAAAAAAAATTACAATTTCATAAAACTCGCCATGCCTGTTATGAAATACATCGGACGGTCTACTTTGCAATAAGGGGTCATTTGGGGGATATCTGTACTGTCCTGACATTCTTGGACCTCAAAAAATGAGATTGGCTTTCAGTACTTCAGGATTGATCAATTTTCAGATATATCCCATAGTTTGTGAACTCTATAACTTTCCTACAGACTAAATAATAAAATACTAATTTGGGTTATTTTCACCAAAGACATGTAGCAGAATACATCTTGGCCTAAATTTATGAAAAACAATTATTTATTTGCAAACTTTTATAACAGAAACAAAGAAAACGTGTTTTTTTTTTTTTCCAAAATTTTCTGTCTTTTTTTGTTAATTTAGCAAACAATAAAAAACCCCAGTGGTGATGAAATACCACCAAAAGAAAGCTCTAGTTGTGTGAAAAAAATGATAAAATTTTAGTTTGGGTACAGTGTTGTATGAGCGCGCAATTGTCATTCAAAGTGCACTATAGCTACTTGACATTGGGCAGGTGACAGTTGGCAGTTTTTGAAAACAAGGGTCAGTTTGACCGGGCCTATACCAGGTAACAACCGCAGCACAGTGGTTAGCGTGCCAGTCTAAAGAGTGCATGGTCATAGGTTCGAGGCTCTGCACTGGACATGAGATAAACGGTTGTTACTTTTGGTTTTTTTTGGGCTTTTTTTTTTTTTTTAACCAATTCAATAACGGGCACTTTTACACCTTCCTGCCCAGGCCAGTTTTCAGGTTTCAGCGCTTTCACACCTTGAATGACAATTGCGCGCTCATACAACATTGTACCCAAACTAAAATTTTATCATTTTCTTTACACAACTAGAGCTTTCTTTTGGTGGTATTTAATCACCGGGGTTTTTTTTTTTGCTAAATGAAAAAAAAAAAACCAACAATTTTGAAAAAAAACACATTTTTCTTTGTTTCTGTTATAAAAGTTTGCAAATAAATAATTGTTCTTCATAAATTTTGGCCGAGATGTATTCTGCTACATGTCTTTGGTGAAAATAACCCAAATTAGGATGTATTTTTTAGTTCGTAGGAAAGTTATAGAGTTCACAAACTATGGTATAGATCTGAATATTGATCAATCCTGAAGTACTGGCGGCCAATCTAATTTCTTGAGGTCCAAGAATGTCAGAACAGTACAGATATCCCCCCAAATTACCCCTTTTTGTAAAGTAGACAGTCCGACGTACTTCATAGGAGGCATGGCGAGTTTTTTGAAGTTGTATTTTTTTTGTCATAATATTTCGGAAAATGAAAAAATTTTAAAAATTAGTTTCACTATTTTTTTTTTGTACAGCGTCATCATATAACTGGCATGGCGATGATCAGGGACACTGATTGGTGACAGAATGAAAAAAAAAAAAAAAAAATATATATATATATATTTTTTTTTATTATTTTTTTATTACATTTTTTTCTTCTTTTTTTTTTTAATTTTTTTTTTTTCATATTTCACTATGACCAGAGTAGTACAATGTTACCATAATGACATCGATTCATTCAGGTTTTTTTTTTTTTTTTTTTTTTGTGCTTAGCTGTGATTTGGCCACAGCTAATCACATGACATGTGCATGTGATTAGCTGTGACCATTCACAGCTAGACACTAGTATACAATGGATGGCATGAATGAAGCCATCCATTGTATACAACTGTCATGTGACCTGTGTGATTGGTCACAGCAGGTCACATGGTACCGGCAACGGGGCTGATACTCAGTTCTGTCATCGGCCGTGTCCGAGGTACACGGCCGGTGACAGATCGCGCCACTGCGTGGCTCTGCAGGAGCGCAATCTGCACATGTGCGGGAGGACGCCATATGGCGTCCACCCGGAACACTGATGATGATTTGCCGGCCGCCATTCGGCCATAGGGCGGGCGGCAAATGGTTAACATTCATTTTCTCTCATTTTATCTATTTGGAAAGCCTTTCATGGTCCCAGTACATTGTTCTGGGAGCATGGTGACAAGCCTTATCTTCCCTTACACAGTGAGGGTGTTTTCTTATTAACACTTTACTTTTTAAAAAAAAAAAAAAGTGATTTTTTTTTTTATTTATTAATTTTCGAAAAATAAAACCATCAAATAACTCTTACTAAATACCTTGGACTGTTTGCTTTCCAAAAAGGCGGTCATCTGGGGGGTATTCGCACTGTCCTGGTGTTTTGGGGCCTCAAGAAATGAGATAGGCCATCTAGTACATCGAGAATGATGGATTTTTTATATATATATATATATACAGTATGTGAATCAGCACTCAACCCTAAAGGTGAATTCTTCTCGTTTGCTCTTGTTTGGTCTGATAAACATAAATCATTGCAAAAGTTTTTTTTTACTGTTTAACCGTCTCCCGCCCACCATATAGGTTCTCCACGAGGTGGTTCTCTCGTTCTGAGAGGACGTCATATATGACGTCCTCCCATTCTTACCGTGCATGCGTGGCTCTGGGAGCGCGCGCAGCGCGGCGATCGCTGGTGCACTGTGTCCCTCGGACACAGCGGATCACCGATTCACGGAAAGAGCCGAAGATGTCAGCTCGGTCATGTGATCAGCTGTGTCCAATCACAGGTGATCGCATGTAAACTGGGAAATGCCGGTTACCGGCATTTCTCTCCTCACGAGCCGTCACGCTGACAGCCCGTGAGGAGAGGAGAGCTGGTAATCGGTTTTTTCCGCGGAGAGGACATGTACACTGATCATCAGGGCACTGATGATCAGTGTGCCTTGATGATCAGTGTAGCCCCAGCAGTACCACCTGTCAGTGTCCATCAGTGCTCATCCGTGTCACCTGCCATTGCTCACCAGTGCCACATCAATGCCACATATCAGTGCCCATCTGAGCTGCCTTTCAGTGTCACCCATCAGTGCCAGCCAGTGCCACCTATCAATGCCAGTCAGTGCCGTCTATCAGTGCCGCCTATCAGTGCCGCCTATCATTTCTGCCTTTCAGTGCCCATCAGTGAAGCCTGTCAATGCCCATCAGTGCCACCTACCAGTGCCTCCTCATCAGTGCCCATTAGTGCCACCTATAAGTGTCTATCACTGCCGCTTCATTAGCGCACATCAGTGAAGGAGAAAAATCACTTATTTACAAAATTTTATAACAAAAACTAAGAAAAAACTTTTTTTTTCTAAATTTTCAGTGGTTTTTTGTTTGTTTAAGAAAAAATAAAAAACCCAGAGGTGATTAAATACCACCAAAACAAATCTCTGTCTGTCACAAAAAAAATGATAAAAATTTCATATGGGTACAGTGTTGCATGACCGCGCAATTGTCATTCAAAGTGTGACAGCGCTGGAAGCTGGAAATTGGCCCTGGGCAGGAAGGGGGTATAAGTGCCCTGTTTTTGTTACTGGTCTTGTCCTTTGTGTTTGTCATGTTGTTTGGTTTTGTTTGGGTTCCTTGATTTTATTTTCTTTCCTTGATCGTCATTTTGTGTTCTGGGGTGTTTGGCGTTTTTTTTGTTTTGTCGTGGCAGCCGGCAGGGGTCGCTGGGTCTTTGAAGGCGGTGCTGGAGTGACCATTTGGTGGATTATGGGTTGGGCCCATCGTAGGTATGGGTGTTCCTTCCCAATTATAAGGTCATGTTGGTAAGGTTGGAGTTCATTGGCTGTATCTGGGACTACGTAGCTGTAGTATTGTCCCCGAGGTGGTGTAGTAGTGGCTGGGGGCCTTTTCATTGGGTGTAGATACAGCCGAGTTATTGATGTGAGTAACAGTGCCTTCGAAGACCTTGGACCCGGTTGGGATCATGACTGTCAGTTATTATTTGATTGTACTGTATGAAGTGTTATGTAAGAGTTATGTTAATCCGTTGCTCATCCCTCCGGGTGGACGCCATATGGCGTCCTTTCCAGAGCGCGCATTGCACACGCCTACAGGGCCGCGCTGCGGCACGATCTGTCACTGGCCATGTACGTCGGACACGGCCGATGACAGATCTGTGTACCGTCCCCGTTGCCAGTACCATGTGACCTGCTGTGACCAATCACAGCAGGTCACGACAGTTGTATACAATGGATGGCTTCCTTTCATGCCATCCATTGTATACAAGTGTGTCTAGCTGTGAATGGTCACAGCGATCACATGCACAAGCTGGGCCAATCACAGCCCAGCTGTGTCATGTGATTAGCCGTGGCCAAATCACACAAAAAAAAAAAAAAAAACAGAATAAATCAATTTCATTCAGGTAAATGCTTGCTTATAGCAAAGTAATTCTTTGCTATAAGCAAATTGTGTAAAATAAAAAATACTGATCACCTCCCCCAAAGTAGCACAATGTTACTATGGTAACATTATACTACTTTGGTCATAGTGAAATATGAAAAAATAATCTTAAAAAAAAAAAAAAAAAAAATGTAATAAAAAATTAAAAATAATAAAAAAAAAAAAATTATCAATTTTTTTTTCGTACTGTCACCAGTCAGTGTCCCTGATCACCGCCATGCCAGTTATACGATGACGCTGTACTGCACTGGTGACAGTATGTAAAAAAAAAAATAGTGAAAATCATTTTTTTAATTTCTTCATTTCCGAAAAATTATGACAAAAAAATTACAATTTCATAAAACTCGCCATGCCTGTTATGAAATACATCGGACGGTCTACTTTGCAATAAGGGGTCATTTGGGGGATATCTGTACTGTCCTGACATTCTTGGACCTCAAAAAATGAGATTGGCTTTCAGTACTTCAGGATTGATCAATTTTCAGATATATCCCATAGTTTGTGAACTCTATAACTTTCCTACAGACTAAATAATAAATACTAATTTGGGTTATTTTCACCAAAGACATGTAGCAGAATACATCTTGGCCTAAATTTATGAAAAACAATTATTTATTTGCAAACTTTTATAACAGAAACAAAGAAAACGTGTTTTTTTTTTTTTTTCCAAAATTTTCTGTCTTTTTTTGTTAATTTAGCAAACAATAAAAACCCCAGTGGTGATGAAATACCACCAAAAGAAAGCTCTAGTTGTGTGAAAAAAATGATAAAATTTTAGTTTGGGTACAGTGTTGTATGAGCGCGCAATTGTCATTCAAAGTGCACTATAGCTACTTGACATTGGGCAGGTGACAGTTGGCAGTTTTTGAAAACAAGGGTCAGTTTGACCGGGCCTATACCAGGTAACAACCGCAGCACAGTGGTTAGCGTGCCAGTCTAAAGAGTGCATGGTCATAGGTTCGAGGCTCTGCACTGGACATGAGATAAACGGTTGTTACTTTTGGTTTTTTTTTGGGCTTTGTTTTTTTTTTTTTTTTAACCAATTCAATAACGGGCACTTTTACACCTTCCTGCCCAGGCCAGTTTTCAGGTTTCAGCGCTTTCACACCTTGAATGACAATTGCGCGCTCATACAACATTGTACCCAAACTAAAATTTTATCATTTTCTTTACACAACTAGAGCTTTCTTTTGGTGGTATTTAATCACCGCTGGGGGGTTTTTATTTTTTGCTAAATGAAAAAAAAAAACCAACAATTTTGAAAAAAAAAACACATTTTTCTTTGTTTCTGTTATAAAAGTTTGCAAATAAATAATTGTTCTTCATAAATTTTGGCCGAGATGTATTCTGCTACATGTCTTTGGTGAAAATAACCCAAATTAGGATGTATTTTTTAGTTCGTAGGAAAGTTATAGAGTTCACAAACTATATGGTATAGATCTGAATATTGATCAATCCTGAAGTACTGGCGGCCAATCTAATTTCTTGAGGTCCAAGAATGTCAGAACAGTACAGATATCCCCCAAATTACCTTTTTTTTGTAAAGTAGACAGTCCGACGTACTTCATAGGAGGCATGGCGAGTTTTTTGAAGTTGTATTTTTTTTGTCATAATATTTCGGAAAATGAAAAAAATTTTAAAAATTAGTTTCACTATTTTTTTTTGTACAGCGTCATCATATAACTGGCATGGCGATGATCAGGGACACTGATTGGTGACAGAATGAAAAAAAAAAAAAAATATATATATATATATATTTTTTTTTTTTTTTTTTTTATTACATTTTTTTCTTCTTTTTTTTTTAAGATTTTTTTTTCATATTTCACTATGACCAGAGTAGTACAATGTTACCATAATGACATCGATTCATTCAGGTTTTTTTTTTTTTTTTTTTTTTTTGTGCTTAGCTGTGATTTGGCCACAGCTAATCACATGACATGTGCATGTGATTAGCTGTGACCATTCACAGCTAGACACTAGTATACAATGGATGGCATGAATGAAGCCATCCATTGTATACAACTGTCATGTGACCTGCTGTGATTGGTCACAGCAGGTCACATGGTACCGGCAACGGGGCTGATACTCAGTTCTGTCATCGGCCGTGTCCGAGGTACACGGCCGGTGACAGATCGCGCCACTGCGTGGCTCTGCAGGAGCGCAATCTGCACATGTGCGGGAGGACGCCATATGGCGTCCACCCGGAACACTGATGACATTTGCCGGCCGCCATTCGGCCATAGGGCGGGCGGCAAATGGTTAACATTCATTTTCTCTCATTTTATCTATTTGGAAAGCCTTTCATGGTCCCAGTACATTGTTCTGGGAGCATGGTGACAAGCCTTATCTTCCCTTACACAGTGAGGGTGTTTTCTTATTAACACTTTACTTTTTAAATAAAAAAAAAAAAGTGATTTTTTTTTTTTATTTATTAATTTTCGAAAAATAAAACCATCAAATAACTCTTACTAAATACCTTGGACTGTTTGCTTTCCAAAAAGGCGGTCATCTGGGGGGTATTCGCACTGTCCTGGTGTTTTGGGGCCTCAAGAAATGAGATAGGCCATCTAGTACATCGAGAATGATGGATTTTATATATATATATATATATACAGTATGTGAATCAGCACTCAACCCTAAAGGTGAATTCTTCTCGTTTGCTCTTGTTTGGTCTGATAAACATAAATCATTGCAAAAGTTTTGTTTTTACTGTTTAACCGTCTCCCGCCCACCATATAGGTTCTCCACGAGGTGGTTCTCTCGTTCTGAGAGGACGTCATATATGACGTCCTCCCATTCTTACCGTGCATGCGTGGCTCTGGGGAGCGCGCAGCGCGGCGGCGATCGCTGGTGCACTGTGTCCCTCGGACACAGCGGATCACCGATTCACGGAAAGAGCCGAAGATGTCAGCTCGGTCATGTGATCAGCTGTGTCCAATCACAGGTGATCGCATGTAAACTGGGAAATGCCGGTTACCGGCATTTCTCTCCTCGAGCCGTCACGCTGACAGCCCGTGAGGAGAGGAGAGCTGGTAATCGGTTTTCCGCGGAGAGGACATGTACACTGATCATCAGGGCACTGATGATCAGTGTGCCTTGATGATCAGTGTAGCCCCAGCAGTACCACCTGTCAGTGTCCATCAGTGCTCATCCGTGTCACCTGCCATTGCTCACCAGTGCCACATCAATGCCACATATCAGTGCCCATCTGAGCTGCCTTTCAGTGTCACCCATCAGTGCCAGCCAGTGCCACCTATCAATGCCAGTCAGTGCCGTCTATCAGTGCCGCCTATCAGTGCCGCCTATCATTTCTGCCTTTCAGTGCCCATCAGTGAAGCCTGTCAATGCCCATCAGTGCCACCTACCAGTGCCTCCTCATCAGTGCCCATTAGTGCCACCTATAAGTGTCTATCACTGCCGCTTCATTAGCGCACATCAGTGAAGGAGAAAAATCACTTATTTACAAAATTTTATAACAAAAACTAAGAAATTTTTTTTTTCTAAATTTTCAGTGGTTTTTTGTTTGTTTAAGAAAAAATAAAAACCCAGAGGTGATTAAATACCACCAAAACAAATCTCTGTCTGTCACAAAAAAAATGATAAAAATTTCATATGGGTACAGTGTTGCATGACCGCGCAATTGTCATTCAAAGTGTGACAGCGCTGGAAGCTGGAAATTGGCCTGGGCAGGAAGGGGGTATAAGTGCCCTGTTTTTGTTACTGGTCTTGTCCTTTGTGTTTGTCATGTTGTTTGGTTTTGTTTGGGTTCCTTGATTTTATTTTCTTTCCTTGATCGTCATTTTGTGTTCTGGGGTGTTTGGCGTTTTTTGTTTTGTCGTGGCAGCCGGCAGGGGTCGCTGGGTCTTTGAAGGCGGTGCTGGAGTGACCATTTGGTGGATTATGGGTTGGGCCCATCGTAGGTATGGGTGTTCCTTCCCAATTATAAGGTCATGTTGGTAAGGTTGGAGTTCATTGGCTGTACGTAGCTGTAGTATTGTCCCCGAGGTGGTGTAGTAGTGGCTGGGGGCCTTTTCATTGGGTGTAGATACAGCCGAGTTATTGATGTGGTCACATGGCAGACAGTGTTACTAAGCGCCTTATTTTCTGTTCCTCAGTTTCACCTCTTATATCTTTGCAATAAAGACAAAGTTGGACGTTGCTTCTTTGTCAACTCATTGCCGAGAAAGGTTTAGCTGTCTGTCAAGCTATGTACCTTCACACATAAGGAGGACAGAACAGTGAAACGACGGCTTCTTACAAGCTGGATACGAGGACTGCGACTCCTGAAGTCCTGACTGCAGTGAAACGACGGCTTCTTACAAGCTGGATACGAGGACTGCGACTCCTGAAGTCCTGACTGCAGCGAAACGGTGGCTTCTCACAAGCTGGATAAGAGGAACTACGCAGCATCGCCACCCGCAGCGGTTGCAAGTGTGCTAACCCGTTCACAGCATCATCATGTCAGCAAGGGAATCCGGACAGTTCGAGACAAGGTCTCGCATCTCAGTTAACTCCAGAGGCTCAGGGAGATCTTTGAGCAGCTCCACCGTCGCCATTGCCCGCGCGAATGCCGAAGCCGCCAAAACCCGCGCGACATTTGCCGAACAAGAAAGACAATTAAAAATAGAGAAAGCATGCACGGAAGCAGCTCTAGAAAAGCTAACTGTGGAAAAAGAAGCTGCAGCTGCTGTAGCAGAAGCAGAGGCTTTAGAGGAAGCAGCAAACTTCACAAGCGATAGACTCAGCTACATAAGTAGGCCCGAACCCAGTCTTCACAATAACTTGCAACGCACTTCAGATTACGTACTGCAACATGCTAAGTCAGAAGACGGCCTAAATCCAGGTCCAAGAGCGACATCAACCCCTGCTAAGGAGCTCCAACAGACTCCAGTCATACAACAAGCGACCTCAGTTAACCAAAGACCCTGCATGGAACAAGTCGACGGTTCCATAGAACATCAACCCTCAATGCAACCTGCATTCAAACCCACAAATGATCGCAGTATGGTCAAACCCTTTAAGGAAGAACAAGTAGATGGTGCCTATTACAGCAACAATCTGTCAAACAGAGATACAGGTATGTCAGATTTTCTAAAATTCTTTGCCCGACGTGAGTTAATAACCAAGGGACTCTCCAAGTTTAATGACAGACCTGAAAGCTATAGGTCATGGCGATCATCATTCAGGAATAATATCAGAGATCTGGATCTGTCTGCATGTGAAGAAATAGATCTTCTTGTCAAGTGGCTAGGAAATGAGTCGACAGAGCATGCAAGGCGGATTAGAGACATTAATATTAACTACCCAATCAGAGGGTTAAACATGATATGGGAGAGACTTGAGGAGTGTTACGGCTCACCAGAAGTGATAGAGAACGCACTTTTCAAAAGAATTGAGGATTTCCCTAAGATCCAAAACAAAGATTCCCAGAAGCTAAGAGAACTGAGTGATCTGTTAACAGAGCTACAAGTTGCCAAAACTGAAGGAGACTTACAAGGTCTGGCATTCTTAGATACTGCACGTGGTGTAAACCCCATAGTACAAAAATTACCGTACAACCTGCAAGAGAAGTGGATTGCTCAAGGCTCCAGGTACAAGCAACAGTACGATGTCTCGTTCCCTCCATTCTCTTTCTTTATGGACTTCGTGCACCAACAAGCAAAAACTAGGAATGATCCCAGCTTTAACTTCTCGATGTTTGACACCGCTTACCCCAAATCAGGTAAACCTATCTCACTTCGTAACATGAAAGGTACACCGGTTGCAGTACACAAAACCAGTGTGTCTCTTAAAGACTCCTCAAACAAAACCTACAGTACTACAGAGTCTGAGACGATCTCCACAAAGGACCCATGCAGAGAATGTCCTCTACATAAGAAACCACACTCATTGTTGAAATGCAGAGGATTTAGAGGAAAACTTCTCAGGGATCGCAGAACTTTCCTCAAGGAAAACCACATTTGCTACAGGTGTTGTGCCTCAACCTCTCATCTTGCAAAGGACTGCACAGCGAACATCAAATGCTCGGAATGCAACAGTGAAGCGCACAATACAGCTTTACACCCTGGGCCAGCCCCATGGACTCTCACACCCCCAGACCAGGCTGTAGAGCACGGCGGGGAGGAGGGAGACACAGTACCTCCTGAAGTGACACCCCAGTGCACCCAAGTCTGTGGAGAAGGTCTTAGTAACAAATCTTGCTCCAAGATTTGTCTTGTTACAGTTTACCCCATCGGTCATAAAGAGAAAGCGGTAAGGTTGTATGCCATCCTTGATGACCAAAGCAATAGATCTCTTGCAAACTCAGCCTTCTTTGATATCTTCAATATTAAAGGACACTGCTCTTCATATTCACTTAAAACTTGCACTGGTGTGAGTGAAGAAAAAGGCAGAAGAGCTACTGGTTTCCAAGTCGAATCCATAAATAGTGAAGCATCCCTGCAACTACCTACCTTGATTGAATGCAATCAGATCCCAAACAATAGAGAAGAGATTCCTACACCTGAGGCAGCATTACATCATGAACATTTAAAGACCATAGCGCATCTCATACCTGCACTCGACCCAAAGGCCCAAATAGTACTTCTCCTTGGGAGAGATATTATAAGAGTCCACAAGGTAAGAAAACAAATAAATGGTATACATCATATATATATATATATATATATATATCATATATATATATACACCATATATATATACAGTATATATATATATATACAACATATACATCCGGACGTCCGGCGAGAAGTACGTGCGTCGGCGAGCTCCTGCTCCCCTGGCCCCAATCCGCTGCCATCTGGGCAGCAGCGGACCCTAACGGGGGCCCCACGATCCTTCGGTCCCTGCTCATCAGCCAGGTAAGGCCACTGCACCTTTTCCCCGGACCTCCGGGACTTGCGGCCTACCCGGCACCCGAAGCCGCGGCCTCGATTTTTGGCGCGGCCGACCCGGATCGCCGGGCATCAGCCCAGGCCGCCGCTGCTCTGTTCCCCGGTCCCCGCCGATCAGCCAGCCTCCCCAGGGCCCCCCTCACTGGCCCTGGGTCCATCCCGACCACGGGTACCAGCTCGCCCGGAGCAGCCACGTGCTCGTCAGCTCCGGCGCCCCCGCGCCCGATCCGCTGCCATCCGGGCCCCTGAGCCTGCTGCCGATGTCCCCACCAACACCCTGAAGGGGACACAGACACTCCGTCCCTCCAGCGGAGCTCCGGCGGTCCGAAGCGGCTTGAGGCCTACCACGGCACCCGAAGCCGCGGTGTTTCCTGCCGGCCGTGGCTGGAATCGCAGCGGGACGCCTCCGCTCCTCCGGGGAAGCTACCACCACCAGCACCAACGGTCCTCCTAACATAGGAGGGATCCACCTCCACCCCGACGCTCCAGGACATCAGGTACTCCACCAGGGGCACCCACTACCATCAGGGAGCCCAACCACCATCCCACCGCCAGCCACCAGGGATCCCACCACCCACCAGAAACCCTAACCACCAGGGACCCCTAACCACTATCCCTCCAGGGATCGCTACTAACCCACCAGGGATAGCACGGCCACCATCCCACCAGGGATCCCCTGCCCTCCACCCCACCGGGACTACCAGCCACCTCCCACTGCGTTTCGGACACTGCTTCGCCATCCCTGACCAGCACCCCCTCACCCACCCTGACCCTTCCTGCACCCCGCTCACCCCAACATGCCGCCCCGCGCTCCTCCTCCTTGTCCTCCTCTCCTCCATCCCTAAAACCGCCTTCCTCTACCCACCCACCCCCGCTAAGCAGCTCTATATCGCCCCCTCACTTCTCCCCTCTCCCCACTACGGCACCCCCACCTCCTCCCTGCTACTTCACTTCCCCGCTGACAACGCCACTTGCCACCACTTTCAGACCCAAGCGCTCCTACACCTCCCGTTCCCACGCCACCTTCCTCACCCTCCTCCTTCTCATATCAGCTGGGGACATCTCCCCAAACCCTGGCCCCTCACCACCTCACACCCCCCCCTAGAGCCCCCCCCTGCTCACGCCAGCCGACGCGACCCCCTCAACCTCATACATGTACCCCTCCTCCCCATATCTATCCCCCCTCTCTCGGTTGCACTCCTGAATGCTCGTTCGGTTTGCAATAAGCTTACTGCCATCCATGACCTCTTCATCTCTCGCTCCCTCAACCTCCTAGCAATCACCGAAACTTGGGTACAGGCCACCGACTCCACCTCCCCTGCGGCACTCACTCATGGAGGTCTCATCTGGACCCATTCACCAAGACTGAGCGATCGCAGAGGTGGTGGTGTCGGCTTGCTCCTGTCACTGCTTAGCACCTTCCAGGTCCTCCCTAACCCACCCTCTCTTTCCTTCCCCTCCTTTGAGGCGCACTGCATCCGACTCTTCTCACCCACCCCCTAAGGATCGCAGTGATCTACAGGCCTCCCGGACCCATAGCCCGCTTCCTGG